GATGCCGGTCACAGGTGCTGGCGAAACGTAGGAAACAAAACTTCAAGAACACGGCCACACAGCCTGGAAGACCCACACCAGCCATCGTATGCCAGCCGTGAAAGCCTTCGACAATATGTTATAGAGTCATTCTTCATTATTTTGTCTTCTGTTTAATATAATTAAAGTGCTTACTAATCTTTATATTACAGTAATGAATGTTTTGTGTAAATATATACTTATATTTATATATGAAAATATTGATCATGCTTTTTGTTTTTTGATATCAGGAAGAGAAGAAAAGAAAAAGAGAGAAGGAACATTGTGATACTGAGGGTGAAATGGATGACTTTGATCCAGGAAAAAAGGTTGAAGTTGATCCACCCTCTGATCGTCCAGTCCGGGCCTGTAGAACTCAACCCAGTGAGTAATTTAGATTTAGTATATCAGTAATGTCAGTCATGATATATACTTACAATGAGATCAGGAGTTATACATAAGTTATGGAAAAATTTAATTGTAGAAAAATAATTTTTCATCTCAGATGTTTATCCACTTCCAGAATTTGTTTGTTTATTCTGGAATTATTTATTTATATAGATAGAAACATATTCATCTTGTACTACCCTTAATGTTCCTTTTTTGTTTTAAAAGAAATAAATTGAAGGTGCTATGGATTAAATAAGTTAATGATAAATCCATTGCCACACAATGAGCAACCAGAAATCTGGCTGACTGGATGGTCCCTAAACTGTACTGTGTCCTATAGGACCTGTCATGAGTGGAAAACCCCACTACAGCAGATAAATTATACCTTAACCCAATTTTAGAATCGCCTTTTTAAAAATACCGGCTAAGTCATCTACTTCTGTAATCTGTGCTAAAAAGCTAAATTCATCTATGATAGGGGATGCCCTTTCACAGTTTTTGGATATACCACTTTGCCATTTTAAATACTGTGTGACAATGATATTGACTGCTAGCAGGATCATCACATTTTCCTGTCAGGTAATGAAGCCAGCAGTGATATATAGACCCTTCCTTTTCCAAGGGATCAAATGGTCTAGTATCATAGAATCATAGTGTTGAAAGGGACCTTGGAGTCATCTAGTCCAACCCTCTGCCTAGAGCAGGTAGCTTCATACCATCCCAAACAAATGGCTGTCCATTGTCTTGAAAATCTTCAGTGATGGAGCACCCACAGCTTCAGGAGGCAGGCTCATCCACTGCTTAATAGCTCTTACAGTCACGAAATTCCTCCTTATTCCAAATTTGGATCAGTCTCTTTTAAACTTCTACCCACTGGTTCTTATCTTACCTTCAAGTGCTATGGAGAATAAATCCATACCTTTTATCCTATGAGATTCCTTCATGTCTTAGAAGACTGATATCATGTCACTCCTTAACCTTCTCTTCTTTGGACTAAATGTACCAAGTTCCTTTAACTGCTCTTTGTAGGATCGAGCCTCCAAATCCCTTATCATCCTTGTTGCTCTTCTCTGCACCCTTTTCAGTTCCGCAGCATCCTTTTTGTATTGTTGCAACCAGAACTGGACTCAGTATTTCAGGTACAGCATGACCAGTGCAGCATAAAGCAGTACTACCACTTTCCATGATCTTGACACAATACCTCTGTTGATGTAGCCCAAAACTGCATTGGCTCTTTTGGCAGCTGCAGCACTTTGCTGGTTCATAGTTTAATTTGTGGTCTACCAAGACTTCCATATTCGTCTTCCAAGGACTATTGCTAAGGCAGGTACCACCTACCTTGTAACCTGTGCATCTGTTTTTCCTGCCCAACTGCAGAATCTTAATTTCTCACCATTGAACAGCATTTTGTGGATAGGGCTCAATGTTCAATTCTATCAAGATCCTTTTGAATGTTGAGCCTGTTTTCTGGAGTGTTAGCAATCCCCCTCAGCTTTTTATCCACAGACTTTATGAGCATCTGTTCCTTATCTAAATCATTTATGAAGAACCTGAAGAGTACTGGGTGTAGGACAGAGCTCTGAGGTACTCCACTACATAGCTCTCTCCATATGGACTTAGACCCATTAAGGATTACAGGTAGTCCTCGGTTATGACAGCACTGAATGAGTGGTGGTTACGACCAGTCCTTGAAGTTTTGGCTATCCCAGCATCCCTGTGGTCACATGATTGTGATCTGGGTGCTTGGCAACTCACTCACACTTACAGCAGTTGCAGTGTTCCATAGTCACATGATCATTATTTGAGACCTTCCCTGCCAGCTTCCCAGAAGCAAAGTCAACAGGGAAGCTGGCAGGGAAGGTTGCAAGTTGCTCAGGTAAGTCTCCCCCACCCACGCAGCCTCCCCCAGCCTCTCTGTGCTCATGCCAAGCCTCGCTGGCCACCCGCACACCCTCACATACCCTCCCTGAGCCTTGTGTTTGGAATGGGCCTCTCCAGCCACTTGCGCACCCTCCCCCACCCAGCAACAGCCACCTCAAGCCCCACTGCGCTTGCACCACACCTCCCCTGCCACCTGCACACCCTTGCACAACCTCCCTGAGCCTCACTGCAGTCATGCTATGTCTCCCAAGCCATTCGTGCACCCTCTCTCACCCAGCAGCAGCCACTTCAAGCCCCACTGCACTCATGCCACACTTCCTCCGCCTCTCCCACCTGGCAGCAGCCACCCCAAGCCCTGCTGCGCTCGCGCCATGCCTCACTGGCCACCCACACACCCCCTCGTTCCATTTCCCACCTGGCAGCAGCCAGTCACCTGCCTGCTAGCCTGTTTGCGAGCCCCCTGGGACTTGCAACTTCTGTCAGCTTCCACACTGACTTTGGTTGTTGGAAGCCAGCAGGAAGTTGCGAGGCAGTGCTCGCTTAACAAGCCATGATCCTCACTTAATGATGGCATGGGGACTGCAGGGATTGCCATTGCTAAGCAATGTGGTCATGTGACATTGTGCTTTACAACTGCATCACTTAGTGACAGAAATTCCGCTCCCAATTGCTGTCATAATTTGAGGACGACTTGTATGTTGAACCAACTGAATCCAACAGGTAGCGGGACCACCCATCCTACATTGTTCCACTCCATCAAAAAGGAGGCTGTGGCCTGCTTTGTCAAATGCTTTACTAAAATCTAAGTACACTACATCTATAGGTCCACTAATCTAATAACATTGTCAAAGAAAGGAATAAGATTTATCTGGCACAACTATTTTTTAAAAATCCATGCTGGCGCCTCATTATGACTATACAGTATTAATTCCTAAGTGCTTGCAAGCCCACAATTACCTTTTCTAGGATTTTTTCCAAGTATTGTTGTCAAACTGATTGGTCTATAGTTTCTAGGGTCTACTTTTTTCTCTTTTTAAAATATTAGAATAACGTTGGCTCTTCTCTAGTCTTCTGACACTTCCCCTGTGCTCCAGGATTTCTCAAAAATTTTAGTCAGTGGCTCTGAGAGGATATCTGCCAGTTCCTTTAGCACCTTGTGATGTAATATATCCAGTCCAGGAGATTGAATTCATTTAAAGCAACTACGTGTTCTCTCACCAATTCCTTACCTATTTTGATCTGCATTTCTCTTCTGACAAGTTGGACCATTTTTTCCTTTTGCGAAAAGACAGATGCAAGGTGGGAATTAAGCAGTTCAGCCTTCTTCCTGTTTCCTGTCTCCCATCTTGCCATCTTCTTCAATCAGCACCCCCCCCCCAAATTTCCATGACTTTCCCCTTGTTCCACACATACCCAAAGAACCCTTTTTTGTTATTTTTGGCATTCATTGCAAGCCTTACTTCATGCTGAGCCTTAGCCTTCCTGATTCCACCCTTGCAGATTTGGGTTATTTCCTGATATTCTGGCTTTGTTACATACTTCTCTTTCCATTTTTTAAAACTTGTCCTTTTTGTTTCTCAGTTTATCAGAGAGATCTTGGCGTAATCATGCCAGTCTCATCAGGTATCTCCCCTTTTTTCCCCTCTATTGTTTGTATTTGTGGCTTAATTATCTCATTTTTCAGAATTTCCCAACCCCTCTGGACTGTTTTTCCCTTCACGATTTCCACCCATGCAATTCCTTCTACTTTTTCCCTTGGCTTGTTGAAGTCAGCTCTTTTGAAATCTAGAATACTAATCTGGCTACCTTCAGTTTTCCCTGCCTGAAGTATGGTGAATTCTAGGATTAAATGGTCACTCTCTCTCAGATTTCCTATCATTTTCACTTCTTTGACCACTTCTTCCCTGTTAATAAGGGTTAAGTCCAATATAGCTGATTCTCCAGTTCTCTTTTGCACCTTTTGGACAATAAAGGTGTCTGCAAGGTACATCAAGAATTTGTTGGATCTCCTGCTTGCTATGGAGTTTGATTCCCAATCACAGTGTGTATTTCCTGGGTATCTTGGCCATCTGGTTTGTGAAGATTTCATCTATATCTTCTGCTTGGTTGGGTAGCCTGTAGTATACACCCAAAACAGTGTTATCTTTGTTTCTTGTCATTTCCATACAAGTGTAACTATTCTTTACATGTAATACAATTCCATTTCCCCTATTTTGGTGTCTGTTCCTTTTAAACAAATTATATCCTTCCAGTGCTATATTCCAATCATGGGATCCATCCCACCACGTTTCAGTGATTCCTACAATATCATATTTTTCCTCCTGTACTAGGACTTCAAGTTCAAGTTTATGATCACAGTAATATTATCATAAAATTGTTTTTATTTATCACATAAGATGGTAGGTACCTTAACATGTAATGAAATTATTGTTTCTGGTCCTAATAATTAAGTTCTCTACCTCTTGCCCATCACCTTGATCAGGTGAATACTGTGTTCCAGAAACTGGCGTATTCTAGTATTTCAACTGTGCCTGATGTGGTCCAATCAGAGAATACTCAGCCTTCTTAATAAGTTGTTTCATAAACTGAATTTGCCTCTTCAATCATTCCTTTTGATTATGGATATCCTGAGTACTAAGATATTCTTCATATCCCCATTTATGACCAAGCCATTGAAATTCTTGACAAGTAAAATGTACAGGTGAAACTCGAAAAATTAGAATATCGTGCAAATGTTCATTTATGTCAGTAAG